GGATATTATTCATGAGGTGAACGATTAGCAGAACTGTACGTAGTGAATGATCTATCGTTGGAAACCATCTCGACATTTTGCGTCACAACTATGAATTCGCTACTGGCTGAATTAGTGACAAGTTCAACGTCGCCGATGTTAAACTAAACGATAGGATCTAACACAAGAAGTAATTCCCCTGTGATGATAGAGACCTCTGATTCCATTGCAGTTAAGCATCTTAAAATGACAGTAGACGATCCTTCGCATGCGATTCTAAGCAGTGTTGATTTTATCTTGCAATTCCTCAGCAAAACGTAATCATAACATAACTACCAATTCAGACTGTCTATGCTATTGCTTAAAATAATACTTAGAAAATGAACGCTGAGCAAAAATTAAGCAACCCGTATTGTTTTAAAATTCAAGTCAATCCCAAAGTTAAACATTGCAAATGCAATATAGATGAATTACAATCTCACTCGCCACCTAAGATGTAGAGATTGAACAAAGCTTCCTCATGACAAAGCTACGAATACAGTCATTTCGATTTAGTTGATATCGACATCTGACCCTTCTCCAGCATTGCTATCCACTACTGTTGCAGGAGAAAAATCTAAATTAACACGTGTCCACTTATATCATTCGAACCTTGGAAACTTCGGTACACGAGGTGCTAACAGGTATCAACCTCTTCAGTGTGTAATGTAATATTAGCAACACTTTAACAATGCTAATGATGAACTTAGATGAGCAGCTCAGTTTCGTAGTCTCTTTTAAACAACCGTCTTCAGTCCCAGACGACACATTATATGTTATTGCCTTGCAGTTTGACAACTGATCCGTGTTAAGCTACAAGACCATCGACAGTGATGAAATAGGGATACATTGGCCTACTAGAAATGAATATGCATTGAAGTCTGACATACAGTGCTCAGTATCGATGTTGCTAAAAATTGACAGACAAAATGTAGCTTCAGCTTCTACCAGACACTTTCAACTCCGTATCGGCTACTTGTGTCAATAAAGCTGGGGCTCCTTTACTCAGTCGGCTTCCTAGCTTCAGATTTGACGTACGAAGTGCTGTAGGCTGCGAAACAGCGATCGAGAGAACGAGCTATAATTCTGGCACCAATAAGTCTAAATCACAACATTAAAGATCGGTGGTACTGACACGGCGTCTGAAAACAGTGCCTTTACTTTGCACACTGCTTCCTCGTTATCAAAGGTCATCTTCACGACACGACCCGGTGCAGAATGCAGCTTGCGACTTTACGTGGATGTTCATAAATGATATGATCACAGGACACACTCAGAGCTATGACACTTTCAATCTTGTTATAAACAACAGCCGTCTATTAAGCAATGAACATATATAAATACTAAGTGTACCACATACATTCGACCTATTGCGATTTCGATCTCTCTCCACTGTTTCGCTTCACTTCACGCGATTCGCTTATATTAGTAACGGAACTGAACTCAGCCATGAAGCCAGCTGCCCCGCAAAGGCATCTTTCAAGGCACTGTCTTCGCTACCCGCAGAATAACCTGGATGATCATCGGTCTTTTCATCGCATTTACGGTGCATAACGATGCTGCACATGTACCATCAGCACATAGGTACAATTCACTGACGCGTTGACGATTTTTAAACCTGACCGTGTCAGGAGAAATCCAACAACTTTAAATTATCAGATTAAATGAGTTTTGAGAAATATCGTTTAAATTCCATGGCTGTGGTTCGCTCAAGGTCTAGAAATTTAACGATTGCTACTCAGGAATACCGTCAACCCACACTTTTGTGAAAGTTCCGCGACAAATCACTGTTGTACCACCATTACTGGGCAGCCTTCAGCGATTTTAGTTGGTCAAGTGGACATCAATAATGTGATCACTAGTTTGGGCAGACTCCACTCTGACAATAAGTCGCCCTTTGTGGTCTTTGGCGCGCTTTGCTATGACATATATGCCGTTCTCGTTGCTCTCAAGACTTGCAAATCCTCTCTGGATTGGTTGCACTAAAGCACAACGGGTGCAGCAATACACAAGAAAATTTACTCGCATTTTAATTCAAAGATGCACTTTTGGCCCATAACGAGTCTGACTGCATTACCTTAACTTGTGAATTTATTCAACATCGACGGATAGTCGTGTTAAAACCTGCTTAAGGTGAGAGTAGCGCAATGGGTCAGTAAATTGCTTTATACGTGACAGAAGTACGGTTTAAAACATTGAATAATTTTTTTTATTTATTATTACGAGAAAAGAATTCACCTCACGGTTCATCGGTGGAGAAGTGTAGAAGGTCGTCTTGAAAGGCAAACAATTAGGACATGATACTTTGGGGTAATCAGACAAGAGTATTTGACGATGGATGCTGCTGACTGTACTCCATTTAAGCAGCTTGAAATAACCCCAGGCTGTTCTTTGTGTGAATTTAGAAGCAGCACGATTCTATCTTTTTTTAACAACAGAATAACGTCGCCACTATCACAACTTTATTTCGCAACTCCATACCAACAAATAATTATGAAAAAAATTACAATTTAGGCTCGTTGCGTAACTTTTTAAAAAGATACAGAGGAAATGAACGATCAACAAAAATTAATAAATTCGCGTGACTTTTAACTTCAACTTAATCCCAAAATAAGCACTTTACAAATGAATTACAACCCCCTAAATCGCCTAAGATAAAACAATTAAACAAAGTCTGCACACGATTAAATTACGAATACAACCAATTTGATCGATCTAGTTGGTATCCACATCTGACCCTTCTCCAACACTGCCACTACTATTGCAAGAAAAAGCACTGATCGAATAGCTGTCAACTTCTATCAGCCGAACCTCTGGAACTTCAGCACATGACGTACTTCGAGTTTTCAAAGTCTTCACAATACGACTAAATCTGCTGTATAAATTTGGGAACCCTCTAATAATGTCTTACAAATCTTCTTCCGAACAGACGACGATCATAGTTGGACGCGGAAATCCGTTGAATTCTGACCCAGCTGCAAACGTATACGCGCCCATGTTACCGAAAACTAGCCAGTCGCCTTCATTCAATGGTGCCATTTTGCATTTCGACACCACCAGATCCAAGCTGTCACATGTTGGACCCCAAATTGATGTCCAACAATAGTCCAAACTCTTATCCTGAAACAAGTACTGCTAGAAAACAGTCATACAAAAAACATTTTTACGAACTTTCACAGGTTTACCAGATGGCTGACAATGGTCATAGAGAATACAATTAAAAGACCCATAGACACCATCATTTATGTAGTACATGTACCCAACTTCGCTAGAATTCGACTCTAAAATAGACAGTTTGAAAAATACACAAAATAATATAAACATTATTACCATTTTTAGTGATTCGGTCTGCGGAAACACGGGTAGAAGCGATGACGGAACAGTAAAGAGTAAACGAAGATTCAGCATAAAATCGCCCTGGTTCAGCGATCAGTGTTAAGTTAGAATCTGAGGCGAAATGAATATCTAAGTTTTTGTTCACTATCTCAGCTATCGTTTCAAATGCAACAACGTCTGGATTATCGTGACCGGGAAATCCTCCACCAATATCTAAGATGTGCATTGGATGGCCCAATGTTCGTCCGTAATCAAAAAGATTTTTTGCATGTTCGATCGCCACAGCATAAGCAACGGGATCGCGACATCCACTTCCAACGTGGAAGCTGAAAGACAGATTATGTATGTTGGTGAAAGATCACACAAACCAAAGTTTTTAGTATAATGCTACAATCAAACAGAATCCAAGTGAAAATTAACAATTATTTAAATGCGACACAAAATAAAGTAATCACAGAGTCACAGTGACGGAGAATAGACCAAGAATGTACGGGATCTTTAGCTCTGAAAAAATACGCCATGGAGTTTGCTTTAGCCATGAGTTCTGAAAATGATTAGCTTTGCATTAAATTGCATCCGAGGATAAGAGAGACCTCCGCACCATTAAAGAAAGTGTGGCCACGACACTCAAGTGATGAACCCAAATGAACTCAAGTATAAGAAAATTGTCGCACAGGTACTCCTTTATCAATGCAGCATAAAATAGCAAAAACACGTCGTCGGTTTAGAACGTTCCCCCGATAAACTGAAAACTTCTTCAGGATTCGAACAGCTTTCGATTCGTTTCAATCAATATCCTGTAGAAGGAAAACAGTGACCTTTAACTAGTAGCTTAATTTGGTAGTCTCCTTTAAATCAAGGTAGGTGGTGAATTAACAGCAAAGGAATATATGTTGAATTCCGGCATTTAATGATCAGTTTTAAAACGTTAAAGAAATAATACCTTATGCCAGCCACTTTTAGCTCTAATGCGGCTGCTAATCGTAACAGAGCTGGGGCTCCCTGACTGGGTTCGCTTCCAAACTTCAGATTTAATGGGCAAACTGCTGTAGGGTCTGAAACAGCGATGCGAAGAACGAGCCTAAACATTTCTGGAATCAACAACAGGTCGAAAGCTGGTCATCAATGATCGATGTGCTTACGTGGCGTCTGGAAACAATTTCTTCACTTTGTACAGCTCTTCCTCGTTATCAAAGGTCATCTTCTCGACACGACATGCGGCCGCATGACGAATGTAGTTTGCGGTTTTACACGGATTTGCATAAATGATACGATCGGCAGGCACACCCAAAGACATAACACGTTCAATTTCGTTCTAAAACAACGCCCGGATTACAACCGCTCATCAAAGGATAAATATGTATAAATACTAAGTGTATCACACACATTCGTCCTATTGCGATACTTCGTTCTCTCTCCACCGTTTCACATCACGATTCGATTATGTTAATGACGGAACTAAACTCAATGGCATGGCACCAACTGCCCCGCGACGGCGTCTTTTATTGAGCTTTCTTCGTTACCCGCGGAATCAGGAGACGACGATGATAGTCGATGTCTTGGCGAATTCTTTTCATAACAGTTATGATGCAGAAGTTGGAGAACGCTGCGGCACACGTAACATCATCGTACGAGGAAGAGGCGCAATTGACTGACGTGCTGATGACGACGGCCACTCTTCGACCTGACCCTGACACAGATCGGGAGGAGTCCGACAAAGTTACCGGCTTAAACGACAATTTCGAACATTGTGTTCAAACAAGATATACTGACGACATTACTGAATCAAGTCATAAAAAGATTCAAAATAACTTTTTACAATTATAATAAAACTAAAATTAAGAAATTTCATGATATTACTGAGTTAAAAACATTTAAACAAGAGTCAAGAAGTCTAAATGAAAAAATTGTTACCTTGCTTGCGCAGTCGAAGTTGCAACCCAGCATTTCCAAAACTGTCAATAACAGTTTGTGACTATTACACTTGACCGCATAATATGGTTGGAAGCGAGGCATGTACTTCAACCATAAGCTATGCTGCCGCAGTACATGACCAATATCAAAGGTATAGAAAGGTTCGTCATGACCCTAAAATGAACAGGGTGAAACAAATATGCAAAGTACTTAAGAATTAGACACATACGGCTGAAACCCACTGTTCGCACAATTCTTGCGCATAACTTTCGTAACTGGAATAATCTGGTATTACATCCACTGTGTAATCTACAAACGACTCTTTTAGTGACGGTTTCGAACCAGCGGATGCCAGGATATGTGCAGGACTTTCAGTATATGATATAATTTTCATAATTTGAACCGAACTGAGTTGTTAAAAACCACACGGATCCAATATTGAAGTTTGCGTATCTAAAGACAGAAGTTGAACATTTTTAAACATACCATTTCATGCTCATCACCAAGCAGGGTCCTCTGTTCGTTTACAGTTTAATGTCACTATTTTAAACAGTACGAAAGAGTACTATTCATCGTCATAATGCTCGTAACTTGCAGTTTCATTAGAACTAAAAAGAAGAAGCAGAGGAAAACAGAACCATCCAACCGTACAAGCGGTTTGCTTTAAAATTAAAACGGATGATTAGTTAAGATGTCGTCATGTCAATGAAGAACATAACTTTACTAACAGAATAATCAAGATTTATGACTGACGCTTACAAATGGCATCTCAGATCGTCACTGGGCCACTTCACTGCAGCGGCAAAGGTCATAATCCTGGTCGCCATTAAGGTCTGTTTGCGCGATGTTCCTATCTCTTGTATTTTCCCCCAGCGTGTCCAGGCCATCTGGCGATTTCCATGAAAGAAAATTTTGGAAAGACTACCATTCCGATAAAAGTTTCAGATGTTTTAGTGTTATTACAAACAAGTGATACAGCTCTACACTAAGACCGTGCAGATACTACAATACTGCTGGAAGGTGATTCATCAGAACTCAGGTTTCTCCCTGGTCTTTTGTCTTTAGAATCAATGGACAGTACAATATTTCAGTCAATCCAGAGTGCTAAACATACTAATTATTCCAACAAGTACTAAAGAAAACCAACTTGTCACTGGATAATAATATACACCCGGCTAGCACTGTAAAACGACTGTTAGACATGCGTGGTGCACAGTGCATCAGATATTCAAAACATAATTAGGAATGATATGAAAAGATGGCAACGAACGAACAACTAAGGACTTACGATTACAACGAATTTATACGACGTAAAGTATAAAAAAAACTTTCCTCGTTTTTCTAGGAAGGCTAGTGCCGCATAACATAAACAGAAAAACTATGAAAATTTAATATTTTTATTTTACAGACTATTTTGCTGCCGACAGTCGCCCAGTTGGCAAGTTAAAAAGCATCCTAAACATAACGGCAAACCTTTTGTAAACTGAACTGTAGAATCATTTTTTTAAGGAACTTTACTTCGAACCTTGGCAGCTGATCGAACTATTGGTGGTTTCACAAGAGCGCAGTGAACTAATTTTAAAAGTAACTCGTACATGCCCTACATGTCTCGCAACTTTCTAGACACACAAGTAGCATTTAAAAAGTACTGAAAGTATAAATTAAAGAACACATGTTGCACAGACTTAGAGCTATTCTAGTCATGGACTTTTCACTCAGTATAACCCTCTTCGTTTCTGCTGCAATATCATGCTTTAAACTTCTGAGCACTACAGTTCGACAAACGAGCTTCAGCAAGACGTACAATCACTTATTATTCATTCTACAAAGAGCGTTAAATATTCATTAATAACCGACTGACCACGTTATTGTTTTATCAAGTCATTGCGCCACTAACTCAATATGACAATCAACCAACGAACAAACACTAGATCTTTGCATACTGAGAATTGGAGGTTGGCCAAAAACCAATTTTTAAATAGTTGAGTAGATGGCTTACCCGCAAACAAAGAAATGTTAGGTGAAAACTGCTATCAGCAAAAGATTCCACGGCGGCTTGTCGTTATAAATGCGGATTTTGGTGATTGCTTGGTGTCCCGGTCGTGGGATTAAATCACCACGCAAACCAGCCTGACATTCAGTTTTAGAAAAATAAAAAATTAAAATCGTAGAATACCTCGAACTGTACTAATCTGGATGAAATTTTCAAAGTTTCTGGAAGAACAGCAAAAAAACAAATAACTTATTTCCACCATTAATCACGCAACAGAGGGCAAGACTGATATAAGAAGGGATTGAACGGCTGGATGTCAACTACTAACCTGCGAATCTGCATTTTCTCTTCAAACTATCGTTTGAACCTGAACGCAGCAGAGCAGGGTGCAGAGTTTACTAAAATTTACCACGCCTTTTATCAATGTCCTACAAAGGTCAATTTCGAATAACCATGATTACCATCCTTATTTTTATCAGTCTATATTCTGATACAATCAATAATTATTTATGTATAAACTTATTTTGTGTATTCCAATTATGCAGATAGACAAGATCAAGCTCTAGTCCGTAAGAATTATTTAGCAATACATTTCCTCAAGCCAAAGTTAATTGCTTTTAACAGATCTTGGTCAGTTGGCTTCCGGCCCGGTCGAAACATCTCTGGCCATATATTTGCCCTGCGCCAGATTGATGAGAAATCGTGGGAGTACGCCCAGCCGGTGTACATGTGTTTT